AGACAGAAAGTTAGATAGATGATACACAAGTCATAAATAAATGAACTGGTAGATGGAGAGATGGAAATAGATGACACACAGAAAGAGCTACATAAATCAGTGCATGGATACATAAATAACAAATGTAGATGTGTAACCACATAAAAACATGCAGCTGAACACTTTGGAGTAGTTTTTACATATTCAAACAAGATTTTATGAAGAGTATAACTCTTGGTCAAAAAAGTGAATATACATTATGAAAGATCAACTCAAGCCCTTCTGGGCCCATCAGCAATCACCTAGAAAGAACTTTGTAAAGGTCTCATCCCATCTGCCACAAGACAGGAAGAGCATCCCTTGGGTTAACCATTGACTGGACTCTTCCTTGGTCCTATGTATGGATCTTTGAACCCTGAAGGATTCAACCTGTCTCACCCCAGGTTTCCATTTATTCTGGACACCACACAGCCTGGCCATGACAGGAAGGACTTGCCCTGATTCTGGGACGAGAAAAAACAGATTCTTAGGACAGGAGAATGCTCATGTTGAATCTGAAGGAAATTTTCCCACTAAATACTGAAGCCCATATTCCCAAGATGGTTCCCACTAAGTTGTTATCACAGAGGAACTCCTAGAGTATGGATGTTCATATTGATTGATCCTTGGGAAAATTATTGACTGATATCAGCTTTGATATCAAAGATTTCAAATGGAAAACTCAGTGAAGGGTGTCAGCAATTTTATTTTCTAAAATATTAGGTGATGCTGGATTTGATAAAGGTGGCATCTAAGCATCGAAAGATATCGTTCTCCTGAAGACTGAAGACTATGAATGATCTAAAATAGCAGTTGACACTGATTAAACACTCCCTCTGTGCTCTGTGGTCTGTGTCCTGACACTTCACATCCATCACCTTATTTTGTTGCCATATGAGATAGAGGCCGGCATTATCTCCCTGTGCTGCTGTTAGGGAATCTGAGGGACTCTGCACTAGGACACAAAGGTACTGAGTGAATTTTTCAAGGCATGAAGCTGGTAGGGGTCTGGAGTGAAGAAAGGACTTAGCCGTGAACCACCCCACAGTCACCCTGAAGATTGCCTGCCAATAGCTCACAGATTCCACACATTCTTGAGAATTACCCTTGTACAAATCTAAGTCATTTCACTGTGGATTTTGTCTCCTCTGTGAGCCAGTCTAGAACAGACTGAAGGGGTCTAAATGACTGGCATCTCTGCTTAACATGAGCTCAACTCTGCATTACAATCCTGGCCCAGAGCTCCCAGTGGGATTCAAGGCTCAGGAGTCCCAGCCTGAGAGCCAACATCCTCATTCTCTGTGTGGTACTGCCTCCTTATATTGAATTAAATGAACAACACCAGCTAGAATAGGTGAAAGAAAGGATAAAGCTGTGTCAATCAGAAAGTGGTATGTGCCTTTTCCCACAAAACCATGGGAAACTAAAAGAGAAATTTGTCCAAATTTCTGAATTAAATGGAAGTAAATTGTCAACCTCATATTTAAAACCCATTGTATTTTTCTGAATTAAATGGAAGTAAATTGTCAACCTCATATTTAAAACCCATTGTATTCCTTCACAATGGGAACACTCTCCTACATTACTGCAGTGTGAACATCATAATGCATTATGTTGCTAAGTTACTGAGTGGATTGTTCAAAGTCATGACCTTTGTAAGAGCCTTTAAATAGAGGAAGGCACTGGATCCCATGACACATTGCTTCCATGTAGTCCAGAGGCCTCCACTGCATTTCTCAAGTTGTCACAACCATGTTCTTTACGGAAGAAGGATCCAGCCCAAGTGCTGAGTTTTGTTGTCTCCTTAGCCTCTTTGGGTCCAGGTCACTTTTCAATGCTTAATATGAGCTCAACTCTGCATTACAATTCATTGGTTCTCATGAGTTCCACCAGCCAGACTAGAAACAGTAACCTGCTAGGAATGAAATATTTCTAGATTGGGTTTCTCTGATGTTTCTTTATGGTTTTGATCAGAGCTCCCTCCTGAAGACAGAGTCAACACTGTGTCCTTCCTTCTCTGTTTCATCATGTTATGGTCCAGCATGTTTTATCAGTTCCCGGAACTTCAGAAGGTGAGAGGATTATAAATAAAGACACATAGATATAGAAGTATAAGAAAGCAGGGTTTGGTTGGAAAACCAAACTCTGATGGGCTTTGACTCACATCAGAGCAGGCTCTGCACATTTATTATATAGGTTTAAATATCAAAAAGGATTTAATGTGAGAAGCTCCTTCAAGATAAGCAAAAACAAGGCTGTGAGCAGGAATAGCCCTATTAAAAGCTTATCGGCTTGCACCCATACCTTCTCTACCTCTAGGCAGTGGGTATCTCAAGGATATTAAGTTCTCCCATATCTCTTTCATCTCTGGGCCACTGGCACTTAAACTCAGGACTATTTGAACCAATAAATTCTGTAAGGCACAGAACCCGCTTTGAACAGGGTGTCACCAGCAACAGAGCAGTCTCAATCCTGATTCCATGGAGAGTTCACAGAAGGGCATCGAGTCTGCCTTGGTATTGTTCAAAGAAATCTGTGGAAAGCCACTCCAAATGCATGCAGCTTTAAGTCCTGATGCACCAAGGGGATCTGAAAGATCACTGTAGTCTGGTGCAGTAGTGCCATGACTTGTGGCTAGGGCTTTTTCCCTTGCTCAGATAACAAGGCATGGCCCTGGGAGTAGGTGGCACTCAGAGGGGTTGAGCTACACTCACCTGTTCCTTTGTAATCCTACCCCTTGCCTCATTTGAATGGCTTCTCCCCAATAAGAGAGTTCAGCACATGCTCTTCTCTCTCTTTCCATAGACCCATAAGGTCAGAGGAGCCATCACAGGACCCAAAGAAAAAGGGACTTCTCTGTCTCTGTGTGATTATTTTGTGCCAGCCCAATTCACCTGAAGTGATCCTGAGTGTTTAGTCATGGAACGGGACAGAAATCATAATTCATTCACCACTCCCAACACTATCAGGTATACCATGATTGATTTAATTCATTTCCAAGGTTGTTCTCTCTGGTTCCTTGATTCAGGATGTGTCTTCCAGGTCTCTCTACTGTAATGTTACACTTTATCCTTTGCAATTAAATTGTATTCTGACCCATGTTCAAAAAAACTGTGTAAATATATTTATCAACTTTAGCTATTTATTTATATACCTGTTTGTACTAATGTCTTACTTTTTATTTCCATGGATGATAATATTTTCATATAATTATTTATGATGTGAACCAAATGGTCCCTCTTTGGTCAGTGGCAGCCCCTCAGGCTGGCTTCATTGTGTTTTCAATATGTCCCTAGTTTTTCTGAATGTTTTCTTGCATTCTGTATAAAAAGATGTTCCAGCCTTACTTTGGACTTGCCAAGCCCTTACCATAAAATCAGCCTTTTCTCTAACCAGCCCTGCTTCCTATAGAGAAATATGGTATTTTTGTTCCAGCATATGGTCACCAAGGCTGCTCCTTGCTATGAAAATGTTACTATTACCCAGTCCCATCAGTGCAGGCAAGTAGGGAATTTAAATTTCTACATTCAAACCTACACAAACACATGCACACCCCATATCCATTTGTTTCTCTATTTTCCTATCGGGAAGAGCATGGATTCACAGTGATACATTCCATCCAGTTCTACTTCACAGGTCTCATCCGAATTTTCTTTCCTAAACCAGTGAGTCCCTTCTCCAGCATTTCCTATGAAAGCTGGATTTCATTATCCTTGATTAATTTACTTATTTAAACAATCTCTCTTCTTACACCTAACTTCCATTTATCTAATTCTAACCCCTCAAGCCCTCCTTAGCTCACCTGTGTGTTCTTTACCCTATTTAGTCAACAAGTGTTTATTATAGGCCATCCCTTTGCTTGGAGCCCACCTCAGGTTGCTTGGACTTCCATATCCAGGCCAGGCTGTCCCTTCTGAGGACACCTTCCCAATTGTATCTCATATCTGACTTGAAGCCACCATTATTCCCTCCTCCACCACAAAGTGTGCCCTCACATTGCTGGACCACATATAATGGCATTAGGAGTGAATTATTCAAGAAGGGAAGGGGAAGTAAAGGGAAGGAAGAGAAGGGACAGGAATAAGATGGAAAAATCCTGTGTAGCTCCTGATACCAGTTGAATCTGAGGAGCACTGCTGTAAAACAATTGTCTATCAACCACTTTCTAATTCAATGCTCATTGTGCTTGTTATCAAGTTGGGAGTTGAAGATGGACTACAAATGTTTCTTGCTTTCCAGTGGGATAGGAGTATTAAATATAAACTAGAAGTATAGTAATAACTATCTCAGTAAAGCGTTACAAATTATATGCTTCAAAAATTGCACAAGGACATTATGAATATACTTTTCTAGCAATGGGAAAATTAATAGTGGGTTAACTATATCTTACAATTTAATTTGAATTTCTGAAAAATTTTCCATGTATTCACTGATTGTGATGATCAAAAGATTTAGTTTTGACTTTCACTGATTCAGTACTCTATATCCCCTTATATGGACATAAAGGCTTCAGATAAATTTTATAAGGATATGTTTATTTACTTTCTCATTATAAAACTTATCACAGCATATTTCAAAGAACACATCATATATCAATGTCACTACAAAAGCCACCACAACCACCCTCATTCCATTAAAAATTGTTGACAAATTTGGTGATAATTGTTGATTCTCTAATCAGAGCTCAGGAGGAGCTGCCAGGACTAACTGGCAGTGAGAGGAAAGAGCCCATTAGACCCAGAAAGGGTGAGTCTTCGTGTCTGGCACTGAGGTGGTCACCTCCTTTCCATCAGAAAATAGATAATACTCTGCACAGACCCTGAGCAAGCTCAGCAAAGGTCTCCAGCATCTCTTATCATTCATCAATTAAGGAATATAGAGTCTATCTTCATTTTGAGTTTTCTTCACAAAATAAATTTTTGTTCTCTGATGTTCTGGGTCCCAGGCTCTAAGGACAACAATGCACAAATTCTTAGGGAAGTTCAGGCTCCACTTATTGTCCCATCTCTGCACACAGCCTTCAGAATAATGGACTTTTCAGGTTGAAGAAGTCCTAGATCTCTTAATTTCAGGGGAATCTGTAACATATAGACAAGCACATGGAGAAGCAATGAATGAAACACCAGGAACCAAAGCAGCAAAGTAGAGAAGATTCATTATGCCCAGTGATGTTCCACAAACATAAAACTACTTTTAGTATCATGCACTTTGAATTCGTCCTACTTATTCTCTAAGGTGTGTCATGATTGGATAGTAAAATTATTCATTTATCTGAAAAATTATTTCATAAACATTTATCCTGTACAAGGCCTGAGACAGGGAGGTTCTGTAAGTTCTGGTGAGGAGATCTTCTCTCAAACATCAGAACCCTGTGGTCACCACACCTCATGACTGTGCACAGGGTGTCTCCAGGAGACTTAAAGCTGAATTTATACTGTGCTCAAGTTCACAGTCCACACATACACATTTCACACTAATCTGCATTGAGTCCATATGTTTTTTACACTTTGTTCTTCACAAAGTCATGGACTTAGAGCCCCCCATGGTGAAGAACTCTAAAATCTCAAAGATGGTGCAAAAGAGACTCACTGGACTATAGATCTAAGAATTAAATGATGAATGAGCATATATTTTTCTGTGACTAGGCCCCTCAGTTTGGGAAAACATATTCAAATAAACATTATTTATATGAAAATTTACTGACCTGTGTTTCCTTACAAGTTTGGAAGGAGAAGTTCTGCATTACTTTGACAAGAGCAACTTTCATGTTCATGAGAGCAAACCTCATGCCAATGCAGTTTCGGGGGCCATTTCCAAAGGGCATGTATATGTACGGATCAATGCTGTCCTTGTTTTTCTTACTGAACCTGGTTCCACAATAGATGACAAGTCAACAAAACATTAAAACCACAATAGTTACTTGTTTCAGTTTGTGCCTTAGACACCCCCAAGCAATGATGTAAAAGATGATTTCTGGGCTGGACATTGAAATCCAGCTGTGGTTTTGCTATGAGAATTGTTAAGCTATGGAGTTTTTCCACCTTTCTCCCCCTTAGCCTATAGGAGTTTTTCCACCTTTCTCCCCCTTAGCCTATAGGATCTTTCAATCTTCTTGAGATAAATGCTGTTTCAAAGGAAATCATGGTAAATTGAGACAGAAAATAAAACAAAACACTCATAAAATATAAGCAGTATAACAATAAATACATAAAATGAAATGAGATAGTGGTTATGTAGGTTATGGCACATGCTATAAAATTTGAAAACACAGACACACAGACACATACACACACACACACACACACACACACACACATATGCATACACACAGAGTCATTGTGTCATATCTGAGGAGATTTAGTTTTAGCATCAGAATAAACAAAATCCTGGGTGATCAAATCTCTTATAAAAATAATGGGGAAATACTTGTATAACTTATGCACATCCTGAAATATATTTTAAATCACCTCTGGATTCCTTATAATAACTAATAATATGTAAATACTATATAAATGCTTATTGTATTAGACTGTTTAGGGGAAACTGACAAGAAAAAAAGTTTATTTAGTTAGTTGAAATTATAGAACCAAAAACCATACATACAGACTGAGCACAGTGGCACACTCCTGTAATCCCAGCAACTTGGGATGCAGAGACAGTAGGATCCCAAGTTCAAAGCCAACTTTAGCAATTTAGCGAGGCACTAAGCAACTCAGTGAGACCCTGTCTCTAATAAAATACAAAATAGGGCTACGGATGTGGCTCAGTGGTCATCCGCCCCGAGTTCAATTCCTGGTACCTCCCAAAAAATCATACATGCAGAGGTTGAATACATATTATCAAGTGCTATCAAAAATCAAATAAAATATGATACAATCTAGTTTTGCAAAAATATCTATATATGCATAGGAATATGTTTATGATAACATGATCATATTATTAATTAATAATTATTTAAAGAATTTAACAAACTAAAAAGTTTCTTCTCAGCAAAAGAAACAATTTGTGAGGTGAATAAAGAGGCTACAGCTCGGGAGTAAATTTTTACCCCTCACACATTCGATAGAACACCAATCTCTAGGGTATATAAAGAACTCAAAAGCAAAGCACCAAAAAAACAAATAACCCAATCAATAAATGGGCCAAGAATCTGAACAGACACTTCTCAGCAGAGGATATACAATCAATCAACAAATATATGAGAAACTGCTCATCGTCTCTAGCAATTAGAGAAATGAACATCAAAACTACTCTAAGATATCATCTCACTTCAGTTCAGAATGGCAGATATTATGAAGACAACAATAAGTGTTGGCAAGCATGTAGGGGAAAATGTACACTCATACATTACTGGTGGGACTGTAAATTGGTGCAGCCAATATGGAAAGCAGTATGGAGATTCTTCGGAAATCTGGGAATGGAACCACCATTTGACCCAGCTATCCCTCTCCTCGGTTTATACCCAAAAGACTTTAAAACAGCATGCTACAGGGACACAGCCACATCAATGTTTATAGCAGCACAATTCACAATAGATAAACTGTGGAGCCAACCTAGATGCCCTTCAGTAGATGAATGGATTAAAAAAATGTGGCATATATACACAATGGAATTTTACTCAGCATTAAAAGAGAATATAATCATGGCATTTACAGGTAAATGGATGGTGTTGGAGAAGATAATGCTAAGTCAAGTTCGCCAATTCCAAAAAAACAAATGCTGAATGTTTTCTCTGATATAAGGAGGCTGACACATAGTGGGATAGGGAGGGGGAGCATGGGAGGAATAAACGAACTCTAGATAGGGCAGAGGGGTGGAAGGGAAAGGAAGAGGGCAGGGGGTTAGCAAGGATGGTGGAATGTGATAGACATCATTATCCAAAGTTCATGTAGGAAGACACGAATTGGTGTCAACATACCTTATATACAAACAGAGATATGAGACATTGTGTTATATATGTGTAATAAGAATTGTAATGCATTCTGTTGTCATTTATTTTTTTTAAAATCAATTAAAAATAAAAAAAAAAAGAATTTAGGATAGTGAATGGACATAGCATTTATTTTGTTCCTTGTCACAAATTCATAGCATTTTACAAGAAAATGTTATATTTATAACAGGAAAACTGCTTAAAATACAAAGACATATATAAAAATGATTATTACATAGCTACCTGTGTGTCATCTATGATAAGAAATACAAGGACATGCTTGGATAACCCTAGCCCAGGGCAGTTCCCTTTCCCAGAGGCCCTGTACCTTTCAGGATGGAACTCCTCAGGCTCTGGCCAGTACTGTGGGTCTCGATGAAGAACATAGCTTGGCATCATCACCACTGTTCCCTTCCTAATGGGCACTCCATTGATTTCAACATCTTTCTTACAGACCCTCTCAAGTCTGCCAGCAATTGGGTACAACCTGAGAGTTTCATTCACCACCATGTCCAGGTACTCCATCTGTAACACGGTATCATAGGTAGCAGGTGCCTGAAGAGAAAAAAAGAGATTTTTGGAAATTCATGTTTAAAACTAACTTTAAACACAATCTACATAGTTTTATTAAAATGTTAGGAGGTCCCAAGAATAACAGAATGGAGAAAGAGAGTAGTGCTTACAATTGACTAAGCATTGTAATAACAATCATGTCCATTTGACAACCATGTCCATGGCCCATTGAAAAGTGCAGAGTAGTTATGAACATAAGAGGCCTATGGGACAATCCCAAATTCGGTGTGTAATATCCTCAGCAGCATCATGTACTACTTTTTCTCATGCAAGGAAAAGTAACTAATAGAATATGACAATTACACTCAGGTAAAATATGTGAAAGTCACTATAACATTTCACTAGAAAAGTCACAGGTCTATTTCAAGGAAATAGAACATAGAAAAGTGGAAATAACCCATTATACATCCATTTTTCTTGGATAATCCTGCTTTGAATGTGTGTGTGTGTGTGAATATATATATACATATATATCCTAGAGATAACACTACATCATGTAAAAAATGTTGGGAAAAATTGGTAACTTCCACCCTAACACAACCAAAAAAATCTAAGATTGGATGGCACCATGTCACACAATTTCAGTTTCAGAGAACATTCTAAGGAGGACAGGAAGCCACTCTCAGCCCCACCCCCTGTTGCTGGACCAGTCTTCAGGGCTTAATTGTGAGCTCTGAATAAGAGGCTTTGTGCCCACTTCACTGCCAAACCAGCCATGCCAGCCCCAGAGACCAGGTGTCTTCATATCCAATAGACTCCCTGTTTAGGCAGAGGTGTCAGAACACCAGGAACAACATGTGGCTAATGCCTGGTGTGACATTGGAGAGGACACAAGGCAGCAGTAAAGAGTTTGGCTCAGGAGCCAGAAAACCTGACTCATCCCCTGACTGCTTCTCTCTAATACATGACTAGAGTGTGAAGATGTGTGGAGCAGAGCAGAGTCATCCTGTCCAGCAAGCCTGGGCTCACTCAGCAGACAGCCAGGAAGGAGCTCATGCCAGAGCTCAGCAGAGCCAATGATCCGGACACTTGAGTGACACATGCTTACACTTCCTAGGTATCATCATGATAACTGGTAATGGATACAATTGAAATTACACTCTTAAAAATTCCTTGTAGTTTTGGGAATAACATTTTCCCCAAAATACTGTTTTCTCCTTCATTTGTCTCTTCAGATCCTTTCCAGATAGAGCTGGTGAAAAGAATCAGTGACTATATTTTGGACAAAGCCTCCTAGGAAGTGAAAAGGAGGGAGTCTTGTTGAGGCTCTGCCTCTCTCCTCCCTCTCCAGGTACCATCTTCTCACCTTATTGGGCAAAGCCGCATCAATCTCCTGCTGCAATTTGGTCTGGGCATCAGGATGGGTGGCCAGTTCATACAAAATGAAGGAAAGAGCACTGCTAGTGGTCTCATAGCCAGCAAAAATGAAGATAATTGATTGAGCCACAAGCTCCAGATCAGTCAGGGCTAATGGAAGAGGAAACACAATTTAGGTAAATCCATCAAATCACAACATCAGGGTTTAGATGAAGAGAAATCCCATTAAAACCCACAGATAACTAGGCAGGACCATGGAAAAGCAATTCAGGGTCATTCTCAGAGTGGTTTTCACTCTCATGTCTATCTGATAGGGGAGCCAAAGGAAAACTAATTTTAATCCAGTTTTCCTGAGGTCTACACCACTCTTAGACTTGGCTTCTAGCTGTGCCATTCTCAGAACCAGCAAAGATAGGTAATTTCAAGAGACACCATTTCTATCTAAGACACACAGTATGATCAATATGGACTTTTAGATACCTGGGTCCTGAAAAAAAAAAAAAAAAACATGATCTCTGTGCCAAACATGCAATTCAAAATAAAAAAGAAAACACAAAACAAGTGTTTGAAAGGTCTACAGAGTTCAGATTTACTGATAATGATTTTCTATGATGATGTCATGGGAATATTTAATTATCAAATCGTTTATCCCAGTGAGTATGAACCCCATTAAATAGGACTATAAAGTCAAGGTGTGGGCCAGGTGCAGTGGCACACACCCGTAATCCCTGCGGGAGGCTGAGGCAAAAGAATCATGAATTCAAAGCCAACCTTAGAACAGTGAGGAGCTACTCAACTCAGTGAGACCCTGACTCTAAATAAAATACAAAGTAGGGCTGGGATGTGGCTCAGTGGTTGAGTGCCCCTGAGTTCAATCCTAGTAACCCTCTCCCCCGACACCAACAAAAAGTCAAGGTTTATAGCTTGGATGTTTGCATTCGTAGCTACCAGCCACATGTGGGTGTTTAAATTTTAATTAATTAAAAGTCAATACACTTCTGTTCCTCAGTGGCACTAGCCACATGTCAAGTGCTCAGTAGCACGTGTGTTCAGTCATTATTTTATTGACGAATTAAATATAGATTGTTTCCTTCATCATAGAAAGCTGAATAGAACTGGGTAGATACATACAGGATAGATGGATGGATGGATGGATGGATAGATAGATAGATAGATGGATGATATGTATATGTGAACATAAAAATATGTATACTGGGGCTGGGGTTGTGGCTCAGTGGTAGAGCATTCACTTAGCACATGTGAGGCACTAGGTTTGGTCCTCAGCACCACATAAAAATAAAATAAAAGTATTGTGTGCACCTACAACTAAAATATAAAAATATATTTTTTAAAAAATGCATAAGCTCAGTCCTCATATCTAGAATTAATTGCTCAACATTCAGGAATTTTTTCAGATGGTTGTCAAGGCACTGGGTACCATGAATTAGAACTGCAATGGGAGTACTTGTGTATTACAGTAAATTAGGGGAAAAATTTGAAGGAGAGAGAAAAATAGTTTATATCACTGGATGTGAGTAGGTACTTGTTTATATCAGCTTCAACATTTGAACTTGGTTCTAGATGTGTTTCTCTAGAAAGTTCCTCAGGCTACTGTATATGATATCCAAGCATGGCCTTTCCGCAACTTAGTATAAATGCTCTTCTTCCTGGAGAATCTCCTGCACATTTCCAGAACACACTTCCCTCTGAGTTTCCCCAACAGTAGACGAGATAGCAACCTCGTTTACCTTTATGAGACTCCACATCTTTGGAATTCTGAGAATTTATCATAAGCTGAAGAAAATCCACCCGATGCTAGAAACAGAGTGATTTCAAAGATAGAAGGTTAATTATGCAGTCAGAAAAAAATTAAGAGTACAGAACTTATCTTCCCTTCTGAGACTATGACTTACCCTTTAAGTACAGAAGTCCAGCTGGAGTTGAGAGTAGTAGAGGGTTTTCATTTGGGGAGAATAAAGTCATCAGTGAATAAAAGTATCCATCTACAAACTTTGGAGAGTAGGACGTTTCCCTGAGTGAAAACAGGCTATGGTGTCCAACAGCTACTGGTTTTTGCTCTCCCTGCTTGTGAGCTTCTATGGATTCTGAACACAGCCTCCTGGCCAGAGAGTGGCTGGCTTTGTCTCCTGTTACATTTGTTTGCTCACGGAGAAGTGCTGGACCGCAATATTTTGTTTTACTACCTTAATTCTTCACCAAAGATGCCACAGATTAATATCCTGACATTTTTAGAGCTCATCATCAGATTTTGGGCAAGCTTCTTGAAATATCCCACCATGCTTGAAGCTATAAACTTTGTACTGACACCTGGAGGGCCCTTCCTGGCTCCCTGGCCTGCACACATCCTTGTGCTGGCCTTCATACATAAAACAAAACCTTCACCTAAAGAACCCCATGCCTGCTCCATGAGAGGCCAGACAGTACCAGCTACCCTGAGGATACCTTCTGTGGAGAGTTTGTAAAGTGAGAGGTTTGGAAATGCAATGTTTCTTTGCCAATATAAAATCTGATTAAATTAAAGCACCAGAAAAATAATTTTATGTTGAAATTTTATCTATTGAGAGAAGGGATATGATAAAATGTTTTTCCTCTATTTAAAAAAATCATTTCAACTGATATATAAAAACATTAAGCTATACATATTAAAACATTAAGTAAGGTACCTAATTACTTTTATATATATATATATATGCTGTTTGATGTTTATGTCAGTTTAAACACATTTTTAACTGCATTTATCATTTCTTGATGGTGGATGTTTTCAAACTCTATTTGGCTCAATTAATAAGAACAATTTTAACATAGAGCTGAAATAAACATGGGAGTAAATATCTCTCTTTGACATACTGATTTCATTTTCTGTGGTTATACACCTAGTAGTGAGATTGCTGGATCATACAGTAGGTCTGTATTTGATTTCTGAGGGTCCTCCACACAGTTTTCCACAAAGGCTGACCTGATTTGCATTCTAGTCAACAATGTACAAGGACTCCTTTTTACAGCATTTGGAACTTTTTCCTATCAGCAATATTTATGCCTTGACAAACTAAATTGCATTCCCATTATTTAACTGTAAATGCTTTCTCTTTGGTTCACTATTTTTCAGTATTTAAAATATATAATTTTATTTATTTAAGTCTTTTATATTAGTTCTTTTTAGTTATATGAGAGTAGAGTCCATTTTGACATAATTATAAAAGCTTGGAATACATGCTAAATTCTTTATTCTCCCCAAATGAAAACCCTCTACTACTCTCAACTAAGAGTTCTTCATCTACCTTTTAAAAATATACAAAGAAGTGTGGAAGTCATACACCCATAGCAAATAAGTTATCAAAAATGAACCTCCTCTGTAGCCACCACCGGATTTTACCTGTTGTTTCTCTTGGAGGCGACTTTCTTTCATTCTGTTTATAGCTTTCTTTAAAAAATTTGTGACATCCTTTGGAAACATAGAGATATTCATTGCCTCATAAATTGGAGTAAGGAATGGAAAGATTGCTGCAGGAGAAAGAAAAAACAAAAGACACTTCAGGGAAAAATGTAAAATTTACCTGGAGCAATTACATCTTTTCTACCAATCAGAAAAGTGGAAGTCACAAGGGTTCCTAAAGAGGAACTGTTCCTGCTGGGACCACTGATTGGGCTCCAGGACACTGGCTGAGTAAGAGGATGTCATATATAGGGCCACCATCATAGCAGTGAGATCAGTGGCCCCTTCTGCCTCTGTGGAGTGACCAAAGGAGCAAGATGAAAACCCTGACCCCTTTCCCCTTCATGTACTGGAATAGAGTGTCTTTGGATAAAACTAGGCTTCAGTCTGAGGCTGCAGTTAATCATGCTCTTCAAGAAAGAGCAGTCAGGATGGGACCAACAGAGCATGTGTTCTTCAAGCACCACAGGAGGAATCCAGAAGGCATTATTAGAAAGAAAATTGGGAAACTCAAAGTACGGGGAAAATTGATCAATATATACCTGAATAAACACTGGATGAAAGAAGAAAATAAAGTGAAATGATAAAGTATTGAAAGGGAAAGAAAGGATACATAATATATCAAACTAATATATATATATTGTGGAATGGAGAAAAAGCCATCATTGTGCAGAGGGTAATTCTGATCTATTAAATAAAAACAAAGATCACAAATGAACGATCAAATTTTACACAATAAATCACAGATAAAAAGAAGAGCAAATTAAATTTAAAGGAAACAGAAGGAAGAAAATATTAAGGACCAAAGTGGAAACTAATCAAATAAAAAATAAAATCAATACTAGAAATTAATGAAAACAAATGCAATTGTTTAAAAAAAAAACAACAAAATTGGCAAAATAATAGCTACACTGGCCCAGAAATAGAAAGGTTACAGTTAGTAGCATTCAAAATAAAAACTGGGGAAATACTGACATTATAAACATAGAAAGAAATATAAAGATGTTGTAACAATCAGATTATCCCAACAATTTTACAAATTACATAAATGAAATGGACAAATTCCTAAAAAGACACAAACAGCAGAAACTGACACAAAAAGTGATACAAAATATCTATTGACATACATCACATGATGAAACTAAATTAGAAATTAAGAACTTTTCTACAAAGTGAAGCTCAGGTCCAGATGTTCCATGGACAATTCTGCTAAACATTAAAAGAACTAACACCAACTCTTTACCTCATTACAGACATTCATAGAAATATTTAGTATTTTCTAAATATAGAATACAGTGAACATTTGTAAAAAGATCCTAAAATGCCCAAGTTAACCTGATCCTAAGACTTGACACAAAGATAACACAGGAGAACTACAAACTTATATATCATATAATTATGGATGCAAAATCTCAACAGAATATTAAAAACGAAATAATTTATTGTTCTCTTCTCTCCCCGCCTTTCTCTCTCTTCTTCCCACTTATCTGTCTCCCCAAAGTCTCTTTCTCTCTTTTCTCCTGCTACTAGCCAACATCTTTTGATTCCTCTTTTATGCTTCCTAAGATCTAATAACTCTATATCCTCATCTCCTACCTCCTTAACATCTCATCCTAACCTCCCCAAAGTTCTCTCTTTGTCCACCATTATAAACTGTAGATCCTTTTGCAACCTACTGTTTACATTGTTGATAATAATTAAATGCACCATTTCTGACTATTGTGACAAAACTGTAAACATCTCAATAGAAGCTATTTGGTTTAATTAAGCTTGCATATTGTTTGCATTGGGATAAGTTAATATTGATCTCCTCCTTAAAGGAGAGGTCATGGAATTCTTCAGGGACACTATAAGTCTATTGGTAAAAACTGTAATACCTTGGATCTATACTGATAAAGGGAAAGATACACAAACAATATGAAAAAACAAGGGAAGAAAGTGCCCCAAACAAACCAAGGTACATTACTAGAACCAATGGCCAGCACAGAAGAAGAGATGTCCAAGAAGGAGTTCAGGATGTATGTAATTAAAATGTTCTGTGCATTAAAGGATGATATAATAAAGCAAACACAGGCAACAAAAGGTGATTTCAATAAAGAGCTACATAGCCAAATACAGGAAGCAAAAGGTTACTTCAATAAGGAGATAGAGATTCTACAAAAAAAAAAGGAAAAGAAATCCTTGAAATGAAGGAAACAAAAAACCAAATTAAAATTCAATAGAAATCATCACCAACAGACTAGATCACTTGAAAGATAGGATCTCAGAAATGAACACAAAAATATATAATCTTGAAAGTAAAGTTGACCACACAGTGAAGATGGTATGAAATCATGAGCAGAACATTCATGAATTATGAAAAGGTCAAATGTACGAATTATTGGGATAGAAGAAGGCATAGAGTTCCAAAACAAAGGAATGAACAATTTATCCAATGAAATAATATCAGTAATTTTTTCCAAACCCGAATAATGAATTGGAAAATCAAATACAAAAAGCTTACAGGACACCAAGTGTACAAAATCACAACAGATCTACACCAAGGCACATAACAATGAAAATGCCTAACATACAGAATAAGGAAAGAAATTTAAAAGCCACAAGAGAAAGGAATCAGATTACATATAGGAGGAAATCAATTAGGATCTTTTCAGATTTCTAAACCCAGACCTTCAAAGCTAGAGGGTCCAGGAACAATATATACCAAACTCTGAAAGAAAATGGATGCCAATCAAGAATCTTATATCCAGCAAAATTAAGCTTTAGATTTCATGATAAAATAAAAACCTTCCATGATAAACAAAATATAAAAGAATTTACAACTAGAAAGCCTGGACTACAGAATATTCTTAGCAAAATATTCCATGAAGAAAAAATGAAAAACAACAATGAAAATCAGCAAAGGGAGGAAATACACTAAAGGAAAAGCCAATCAAAGGAGAAACCAAGTCAAGTTAAAAACCAAAAATAAAGCAAAATGACTGGAAATATGAACCATGTTTCAATAATAACCCTGAATGTTAATGTCCTAAACTCATCAATCAAAAGATATAGACTGGCAGATTGGATTTTTAAAAAAACCAACAATATGCTACCTTCAAGAGACTTATAGGAAAAGATATCCACAAACTGAAGGTGAAAGTTTGGGAATAAATATACGACTCACATGGACTGTGTAAACAAGCACAGGTTTCCATCCTCATATCAAATAAAGTAGACATCAAGACAAAGTTAATCAAAAGGAATAAAGAAGGACATTTCATGCTTAAGAAAACCATTCATCAACAAGAAATTATAATTATAAATACTTATGCCCCAAAAAATGAATGATGGGATAACATGAAAAGGCCAAATGGAAAGGCCATCTACATTCATCAAACTCTTCTCAATTTCAAGAGTAAAATGGAACACAACACAATAATACTGGGTGACTTTAACACACCTCATTCACCACTGGAGAGATCTTCCAAACAAAGAAACATAGAACTCAATAATATAATCAATAACTTAGACTTAACAGACATATAGAGAACATTTCATCCATCAATGAGTGAAGAGACTTTCTTCTTGGCAGCACACGGATCCTTCTCTAAAATAGATCATATATTATGCCACAAAGCAACTCTTAGCAAATACAAATAGAGATACTACCCTGTATGCCATCAGATTATAATGGAATGAAATTAGAAATTAATGATAAAATGAAAAATAGAAGCTACTCCAACACCTGGAGACTAAATAATATGCTACTGAATGAGCAAGGGATAGCAGAAAACATCAGAGAGGAGATTAAAAAATTCTTAGAGGTAAATGAGCACACTAATAAAACATATTAAAATCTCTGGGACACTATGAAGGCACTTCTAAGAGGAAAGTTCATTGCATGGGATTCATTCCTTAAAAGAAGAAAAAGTCAATAAATAAAGGACTTAACATTACATTTCAAAGCCCCCCAAAAAAGAAAAATCAACACCAAAAGTAGTAGAAGACAGGAAATAATTAAAATCAGAGCTGAAATCAATGAAACTGAAACAAAAGAAACAATTGAAAAAAATAGACAAATCAAAAAGTTGGTCTTTGAAAAAATAAATAAAATTCATAAACCCTTAGCCACACAAATAAAGAGAGAGAAAACTTAAATTACTAAAATATGTGATAATAAAGGAAATATCATGATGAACACATCTGAAATACAGAAACTATTTTGAAAATTTATACCCCAATTAGATAGAAAATATCGAAGACAATGACAAATTTCTAGAGTCATGATCTACCCAAACTGAGTCAAGCTAATATACACAAGTTAAACAGATCAATTTCAAGCAAGGAAATAGAAGACACCATATAAAGACTACATACAAAGAAGATCCCTGAACAGACAGATTCTCACAAGACCTTCAATACCAATACTCCTCAAATTATTCCATGAAAAAGCAAAAGAGAAAACACTTCCAAACTCATTGTATGAAGCCAGTATAACCCTGATCCCTAAACCAGCTAAAGACACATCAACAAAAGACAATTTCAGACCAATATCTTTAATGAACATAGATGCAAAAAGTCTCAATTAAATTCTGGCAAATCCATACTACCAAAAGTGTTATACACATTTAATTAAATCCCTATTAAAATCCCAATGACATTCTTCATAGAAATAGAAAAGGCAATCATAAAATGTATTTGGAAAAAAATAAGAGACCCAGAATAGCTAGCAATCCTTAGCAATAAAGAAAGCAGGAAGCATTATCACTATACCAGACCTTAAACTATACTACAGAGCTATAGTAACAAAAACAGCATGATATCTGCACCAAAATAGACTTGTATACCAATGGTACAGAATAGAGGACACAGAGACAAACACACATGAATATGGTTATATCATACTAGACAAAGGTACCAAAAACATTCACTGGAGAAAAGAGCCTATTCAACAAATGGTGCTGGAAAAACGGGAAATCCATATTGGCACCAAAACAGACTCATAAACCAATGGTACAGAACAGAAGATACAGAGACAAACCTACACAAATAAAGTTATCTCATACTAGACAAAGGTGCCAAAAACATTCACTGGAAAAAAAGCCTCTTCAAAAATGAAGCAGGGAAAAATGGAAATCCATATGTAGCAAAATGAAATTAAGTCCATATCTCTCACCATGCACAAAACTTAACTCACAGTGAATCAAGGACCTAGGAATTAGGCCAGGGACACTGCACTTAATAGAAGAAAAAGTAGGATCAAACTTTCATTATGTCAGATTAGACTCTGACTTCCTTAACAAGACTCCTAAAGTATAAGAAATAAAATCAAGAAACAATAAATGGAATGGATTCAAACTGAAAAGCTTCTTATCAACAAAAGAAACAATCAATAAGGTGAAGAGAGAGCCTAACGAATGGGAGCAAATTTTTACAACACGCATATCATATAGAGCACTAATCTCCAGGATATATAAAGAACTCAAAAAACTTAACACCAAAAAAAAAACACACACACACAACAGCAAATAACCCTATCAAAAAATTGGCTAAGGAATTGAACAGACATTTCTCAGAAGAAGATATACAACTGATAAACAAATATATGAAAAAATGTTCAACATCTCTAGTAATTATAGAAATGCAAATCAACACTACTCTAAGATTTCATCTCACTCCAGTCAGAATGGCAGTTATGAAGAATACAAGCAAAAATATATGTTGATGAGAATGTGGAGGGAAAGGCACTTACATTGCTGGTGGGACTGTGAATTGGTGCAACCACTTTGGAAAGTAGTATGGAGATTCCTCAGAGAAGTTGGAATGGAACCACCGTTTGACCCAGCTATCCAACTTCTCGGTTTATACCCAAAGGACTTAAAATCAGCAAACTACACTGACACCGCCACATCAATGTTTATAGAAGCTCAATTCACAATAGCTAAACTGTAGAACCAACCTAGATGTCCATCTACAGATGAATGGATAAAGAAAATATGGTACATATACACAATGGAATATTATTCAGCATTAAAAGAGAATAAAATCATGGAATTTTCAGATAAATGAATGGAGTTGGAGAATATCATGCTAAGTGAAGTAAGCCGATCCCAAAACAACAAAAGCCAAATGTTTTCTCTCAGAGGTGGATGCTGATCCATAATGGGGGGTGGGGTCATCCGAGGAATGGTGGAACTTTGGATAGGGCAAGTGAAAGGGAAGGGGGGATGAGTGTAGGAAAGATTGTTGAATGAGATGGACATCATTACCCTAGGAACATGTGCTCCATTTGTGTTTTATGTAGTGAAATGCATTCTGCTGTCATGTATAATTCATTAGAACAAATAAATAAATAATTTCTTTTAAAAAAAATAAATGAAGAACTCACACATGCTTCAGGATGGAAGAATTTGAAAATACAATGATAAATGGAAGAAGTCAGACATGCAAAGCCACATATTGTGGGATTCATTAATAGAAAATTCACAGTATCAGGAAATCTATAGAGTCAGAAAATAGACCCATGATTGCTTAGGCTTGGGGAATAGAGAGTTGATAATGAAATGGTAGCCTGCTTCTGAGTTGATAAATGGTCACTAGTGATGGCTGAGTATATCTTTGTACTGAAAACCATTGAATTGTATAAATTAAGTGGGGTAATTAAAAGGTATGTTAATTATATATCAATAATGATCTTATTTAAATAAAGAAAGGGAACAAATAACATGGTAGTCCACATACTTATTGAGAGAAGCAAAGGGTCAAAGAAATCAAATTTTAAGAGCTTCTTGACTTTCTCCACAAAGGGATCTTGTGGGTTGTTGAGGGAATCGATGTTCACTCCAAATGAAGTAGCAGTGATCACATCCATGCTGTAGGCCCCAAAGATGCTGAATACAGAAAGACATGGAAAGTTAAAACCAGTGCCTCTTCCCAATCCTTCCACTATACATGCAGCAAGAAGTAGGAGTAAGTTCACATACCCAGGCAAGACAAGCAGAGAGCCACACACTCACAGTTATCTGCTGAACTATGAGTCCGTGATCCCTTCACACTGACTAAGAGGCCTTTATGAGTTGCAAATGAGGTACTGCCCTCGTGCCAGGAGTGATGAAGACAGTGAGGTGACTTAGACTCACCTCTGTACTCAAGAAGCTCACCCGCACAGGGATAAGTTCCATAATCAGACACACTACAGTAGCACAAATAGAATGTGGATGATGACAGTTGTATACAAACTGAGCTTCAGCAGGACGAGGGTGGAATAACTGAGTCTTCCTAAAGGACTCACAAAAGGTGACCTTGACCTTGACAGTATTTTGTCTTCTAGTATATCCAAAGTCACAAATATTTTCAGCCAAGCAAACCTTGGTGGATACAGGAGAGATCTTTCTCCCCCAGCTGCCCTGTCTCCTTCTGGGAGCAGCTCCTTCTTGGATGAACAGTTGGAGTTGTGACTCCAAACCCTTGCTTTTGTCTGCTCATTGCACTGGCTCAACATTTGGAATTCAGTTCTGTGGCAGGCAGTTGGAGGGGTTCCTGTTGGAGCTTGGAATGCCAGAGCTGCCCTGCTACTTACTCTTTCAAGTTGATAAACTTGCCCTTCTCTGATTCCAGTCTCATGTTTTTCACCAACACATCTCCATACTGGTTAATGATGGGGAACATCTACGCACAAAACACAAGTCTGTCCATAGTTAAGTGAGGAGACTCAGTCCCCAAGGCTATGGCTTTCCCGGAATGAAGAAGTATGAGATATTTATAATGAATCTCACTATATCTCTTCTAAAACAAAAAGACAAGAGAACATTTTTAGGAATTTCAAATTCAGAGGACTATAGCTTGGAAAGGGACTATTACCTATCTCACTTTCTACCCATGCCCAGATTAATTCTTTCAGTTTCCAATGAAAAGCCTCTTATTTTATTACCTCCTTAAGTTTTCCACTGGTGAAGGTTGGAGACAGCAGTGTTCTTATTCTCTTCCACTCTTCGTCCTCAGACAAGGAGATGGCTTTTTTCATAAATCCCACTGGACCAAAATTCTAGAGTCCAAAGGAAAATAGATTTTGTCTACATAAATGTGGAGGTCTCCACAGTTGCAAAAGTTTGTTAAACAAGCATTATTTATTAAAAAAAAAAATGTTTAGTGACTGCCTACTAGGTAGCTAGACCTATGTCAGACACTCAATAGTATTTCTTCCAAATGCCTAACCTCCTGAGAGTTTGGAAGAGACACCCAGGTACCTAACACCATTTTAGACTTTATATTCCAACCCTTGTTTAGATGAAAATTCCCCTTGGTTGGAAGCTTTTTCCAGGAGAATAGACAGGAAGAAGACCTAATACAACCCCCAGGGCTATGCAGAGCAGAAATGGGTTGGTGACAGATACCAGATGTTCTTGGTCAACTGTATGTTACCTAAGACCAGTTTTGTCTTTACATGCATTTACAGCATAAGCGTCTTAATAAAGGGGTGCTTAGATATGATAATTTTAAAAATAATAATATTTGAAACTTAAAGGATTTGGAATATAAGTGTAATACAGAAAAAAAAATACAAGTTGTTAATGGAAGTTCTTACAATATTTTCTACAAAGGCAGAGGGGGAAAGGAAGATAATTCTGTTTTTCACCTGGGTGCTAGCCCACCAAAGCAAAACCCTTGAAATTTAATTCCATCATCTGAAATATATTTTTGTATTAAAATGTATGCTTCCAGCCAGGCACAGTGGTGCATGCCTGTAATCCCAGCAGCTCAGGAGTCCGAGACAGGATGATCACAAGTTCAAGGCCAGCCTTGGCAATGGTGTTACTTACTCTTTCAAGCTGATAAACTTGAGTAAGTAAGTAATGGTGAGGTGCTAAGCAATTCATTCACTGTGAAAATTTAGGAGATTAGGAACAGAGGGAAGCTTCTTCAACTTCACAAAGAGATTCTATAAAAATCCATTTTCCGCTAACCATATACTTACTGGTGGCAAACTGAATGCTTTCTCCCAAGCATCAGGAATAATTTTACAATGTCTGTTCAGTCATATACAGAAAAACAAGTAAAAATGCTCATCTGAGTGTAGATTAGTGATTTGGACATGTTGGGAAGTAAAGAGAGGCTGGATTTGGGCAGTGTGGAATATATGTATGTATTGAACATAGCAGCAAATCCTATTATCATGCACAATTATCATACACTAATCAAAGTTTTCAAAAAATTTTTTGTGATGTTGGGGTTTGAACCCCAGACTTTGTGCCTGCGAGGCAAGCACTCTACCAACTGACCTAAACCCAGCCCCCAAAGTTTTTAAAAAGTGAATATAGAGATTGTATGGGAATCCACACACTCAGCAGCCTCATCTAAAATTGGGGTAAACTTTGGAAGATTAAAGTCTATATCCTTCAAAAGAAATGTTCACTCTCCTGGCTCTTATTCAGCCTCATACTAGAACTCCCAGCTGATGTCAGAGAAAAAGAAAAACAAATAAATAAAAGGCATACAGATAGGATTTTTCCCTATTTATATGTGCAATCTTTGTCCAATGTGGTCAACACACAAGAAATCAGGCACATTTCTAAGGTTAATGAAGAATTTGTGAAAACACTTTAAAAACACAATCGAAATCTACACAAATGTAGGAATGTGATACATTTGCACAGAGCTGCACATTCATTCATATAGGCACACAAAATAGGAAAAATGAATATAAAAAGCTTATATTGTATCAATTTCCTGTTACTATAGAAATAGGAACTTAATAAATTTATAGTCATGTAAGAAATTATCACTGGGTAAAACAGAATAATTTATACATGCAACTGCCTGGTAACTTTTTGGCAAGGAATGCCCTCTGAACTTATAAATATCTCAGGATAAAAATCGAGTTAATAAGTAAATAAATGCTACTTTGGATTAGACAAAGGGGAACAAAGGGAAGGGTGAAGAGATGGGAATAGGAAAGACTGTAGAATGAATCAGACATAACTTTCCTATGTTCATATACGAATACACAACTAGTGAAACTCCACATTATGTCCAAACACAGGCTTGGGAAGTTGTACTTTATGTATATATAATATGTCAAAATACATTCTAGTGTCATGTGTAACTGAAAAGAATAAATAAAAACTTTAAAATAACTAAATAAATGTTAAAATGTTGAAAAGTGAATGCTTACCCGCCGGTTAGTGAAGGCAGAATAACATTCTTTGATGAGCACTGTTTTGATAATGCTTGGCTCCGTAATAACCAACACAGGCTGTCGACCATCATATAGGCTGTGTTAGAAAAATAGGGCTGGTTAAATCTAACAGCCCAGATTCTGCAGCAGGAATCCAGACTTTGATCCTGATGTTACCTATTCTACCTGCCTAGTCCTACAATACATAGCAACATGAAGTTCTGGTTGGGGATTCTGACCACAGAAACCACTGGAGTCTTCATAGCATAAAGGGTAATGTAGGTAAAGTAGGTAGGAAGAGAAACTTAGAGACAAAATACACCTCGTAAGAGATCATAATTAGAAATAGCATTGGAACACTTGTTAAATCTAGATGGTGAATACAATAGTATTACCTACACTACTTTCCATAACTTATTTATTATTTATTGTAATTGAAGGTGGACAGAATGCCTTTATTTGTTTATTTTTATATGGTGCTAAGGATCAAACCCAGTGCCTCACACGTGATAAGCAAGTGCTCTGCCATTGAGCTACAGCCTTAGCCCATAGTCTCCATAACATTTCACATCTCAAAATATTGGATTATTCAAAAGGCTATTAGGTTAGTGAAAAAAACTGAAGGCAGATAATTGACTAACTGCTCACAATTACTAAGTTTTGCAAGTAGTAGCTGGATTGGGGCCTTTGGAGATCCAGTGGGGCATATTGTGTCCTTGGATCACATGGCATCTATGGGCGATGTCAACTGAGCAGATCACTGTGGTCAGCCTGTGCTTTCTGTGGATTGATGAGAGAAGATGGAGAAGAAGAGTCAATGTCTTCTACCACTATTTTTAGTGCAGATCAAAATGATCACACCTCTTCTATGGCTCCCATCAACCCTCCACCAGCTCTAAAAGGGAATAGTTGCTACATTTAGCTGAGGCCACCCTCCAATATAAAACCCATCAATCCACCAGGGAACTCAGTGGTGTAACTACATCCTATGTCTGGTCTTAACATCAAATGCATGAAGGAGAGAAAGAAATGTTTAGATCTACTTCATTGAAAAGTCAATGCTAAATACTTAAAAATGGCATATGAGCAACAATAATGATGACAATAAAAAAGAAGAAAGAAAGTAAAGGAAATGAAGAAAGCTGAACAGAAATGGCTGCCCAGGACCTCCCAGCCTTTTGTTCAAAAGCATACATTAAATCTGAAATTTAAATAAGAAATTTTGCTTTTAAACTAAACGGAAGTCAATGGAGGAAAAAGATGATGCCATAGACTTTTAAGCTCATGATTAAAAAAATCTTCTCAAATAATACATATCATTCAATTAAAGGACTCAAAAACAAACAAAAATGGGGAATATTGGAATAACTGCACAGTGGACATAAACTAAGGCTAGGAGACTCTGGGTCATCAAAAGCAGGAGAAAACATGCAACATTCTCAACCTAAGTCAGACTATAGACCCAGACTCCTGGTGACATGCAGGACCCTTGGCAGGACAAGCCTCCAAGGACTTTGCAGCACAGAGGGTTTCATCCCAAAAGCTCTGGACTGAGGTTGTCCTCACGTGTTGGGGTGCCACATCATAACAAGTCTACCGAAGAGAAATTTCCAGAATACTCACCCCCATGTTTTTCCATACTTTTTATAACATTCTGCATCAAAATTAAAAAAACCCTAGGAAAAAGAACAATATGAAATTCCATTATTGTTGTAAATATACTGACATCACATCAAATGACCCAAATCTCATGAAATCAGGCTTGTTGTTCCTAACAAGTGGTTAGAGAGAAGCTCTTACTCAGAGTCTTCTGAGGAGAAAAGAGAAAATATGCAATATTTGAAATGAAATATGTGAAGTCACTTGAATTTTCTCTAAGTATTATACATACTTAACCAATTACACTTGTCTATGAATATGACATCCTTCTCTTCTGCAGTACTTCTTCTTCTGCTTGTGTCAACTCAGAAATACGGGGACCTTCTAAATTATCACCTCCATGGGCACATGAGGAAACCCAGGCTGAGGGAAAATGAGTGTTTCCCAGGGCCATCTTTTGTCTCCTCATCCAGAATCATTTTAATTTATCTCATGTTTTCTCTAGAATTCTGGTAGAATTAGGGAGTTAAAGACACCAGCAACCTCTTCTAGCCTAGGAGATTTATGTTATCACAATCATATTGTTGAGTAAGTAAGCAAGATAGTGAGCAAATAAAAAGTGGACTTGCCTTCCTGTGTTGTAGCTCAACTTAGGAAAAGAGGAGATGCTACTTCTCTGCACATAGGACACAGATAGGTAGACACTGGCTCTGAGTTTTCATCATAGAAACTAAGCAATTAATCTTCCTCATGCTAAGTTTCATTTGTAATATTTTAACTGTGCAAATAAAACATCCCAGAGATTTAAGTGTGTCTTCCTAGAATCTGCACTGAGAAAAATGAAAACCCTGTGAGAATGCTCACAGTCTGCTGAACATAAAGTCCACAGCTTACAGTGTGGATGTGCCAGAGTCCTGAGCTCATCAACAGAAGTGAACCTGAGGCCAGGAGGAGTTGTAAACAGAGCCTCAGGGTAAACCTGACTGTGCTTTGGATGCGGCCCTCACACAGTTCTCATGGAGCTGAATTTCTACTGAGGTAACTAAGTAGATGTTTGCAACCATAAAAGGCAAAACAGAGAGCTCAAATGATACTCACCTGGCGATAATTATAAAGATTTCCCAAAAAGGGCAGAGGTGTTGGCCCAGGAATTCCCAGCTTCTTAAAATATCCATGTGAATAGGTCCCATATCTACAAAGTGGAAGAGAAATCCAGGTCAAGGGATTGTGACTGTGTGAATATAGTGGCTCACGAGTCACTGATCAAGAATGGGAACAGTGAAGCCAGGGAGGTAACATGTAGGCCATAAATAACAACAAAAACTCCAATGACCCTAATTACATCTGCTCATCATCTCCTCTCTCACATTCCCTGAGAGACGCCCAAAATCATAATAATTACCTCAAAGCAGCTAATTTCATCATTAGGTTCCCAATGCTACACTGAATATCTGATATAAGTCCACAAACATGATCTTGAAAATTCCTGAGTAATTCAGCCTAGATTTCTTCCAGGTCACCTCATTCACTGGTGTCAGTTTAGGAAGTTGACTTGATACCATCATGTTGGCCCCTCTAGTGGCCTCCAGTGGGGGCTGTCCCCACTCTGGGCCTTCTTCCCTGAGCAGAGAGGAATATTCTCCCACTTTTTCATAACACCTTTCTGGATGCCTTTTATTGCATCCCTGGTCCACATTCTCCCTTACTCATCTGCTGTAAAGGATTAAGAACACTGGCATATGGGAAACTGTTGAGTAAGAATAACCTGCTGGGCAGGTATATTTAAAGACATGTGCAATCTATGTCATGGATGTGTGTATTAGATTAATATTCCTTCTATTGTTCAAAAAAGATTGGTCATTTTTAAACAGGTTGGTTTTCACAAATACAGAATCCAAGGGTCCTATTTTGACCTTCAGAAGGAATGTGAGGAACTTACCTCAAAGAAATTGTACTATTGAACAGAATGAAATTAAAACATTTCCATTAATTTTAAAATGCCATTGGAGGGAAAATAGATGCAACAAAAGCCTGAATATTACCCTTTACTTCAACTGTTACAACCAGGTTTATATTTTCTATTTTCACCTCATTATGAATGCCTACTCTTATAAAAGTGGATTTAAGATAGAAGTCAAAGGTCTCCTTGGGGCAATGTCTTCTACCCTCAGTCAGAAATAACTGCTCTCTTAACCTGCTCCATGAAGCCAGGAATCCCACTATTTTTTAAATAATTTTTTAGTTGTAGGTGATCACAATACATTTATTTTATTTATCTATTTTTATGTGGTGCTGAGGATTAAACTAAGTGCCTTACACATGCCAGACGAGCTCTCTACCACTGAGCCACAATCCCAGACCAGGAATCCCACTATTTAAAGGAATTTTTCTACTAGATCATTTTATTCATGCTCCTGTACTGGAATATCATGGGAAAATGTTTAAAATACAAAATTGGCTTGTTAACTTTTGTCTCTTGAACCTCCCATTAGATTTCAAATCAAGGAAGAAACAAATCTCTACACTGATGCTAACTTAAAGAATAAAAGATCAAAATTTCTCCCAGGTCTTTGCTCAATAGTTTTATCATTCAGCAGTAGTTGCATATTGCAGGGTGGAGGATTTGAGTTTTTGGAGAGAGGGATGTTCCAGGGAAGGTAACAGAACAGAGGGAAGAACTGAGTCTGAGCTGTGGTAGCACCTGAGGTGCACTTGGTGCATTTTACAAATGGTGCTGGGACGTGGGGAGGAGGAGCAGGAACCACCTGTTCTACACATTTCTTGTAGCACACATAGAACACAAAATAAACAATGACACAGAAACTTGTGAAGACCCCTCTTTACCCCCAGAATTCTGAAAGTTTGCAGAAGGTGCATCACTTTTCAGAAGATGTCCAGTTGTTTGTAATCTGCCTCTACAGAACTCTGGCTGATTAATCTAGGTCCAAACTGAGACTCAATCAGAAGTTCATCCCCAAAATCAAATTATATCACTAAACCTCCTATTCACAGAAATGGAAGGTTTGAAGAGGAGAGGAACTGGGACAGTTACTCACAGATAGAGGAGCACCAGGCTTATTCCCAGGAGAACCCAGGTTTCCATGGAAAAGCTTGGGATCAGGTCCATCACTACTTTCCTTCCAAAATTTTCTCCTCTGAGTTTGACTTCCAGCTATGTGAGCTATCTTTTCACAGGGGAAGGTGCCAAGCTTGTCTTCTGTGAACATCTGTGAGTCAATGAAGTCAGTCTGGCATATTTATATGCTGGGAAAGGAGGTGGGGCTGGGTGTACAGCCAGTAGAAAAAACCACCTGTGCTCCACCCACTATTGCAGAAGCCAAATGCCCCCTCCACCTTGGCAGTTGGCAGTGAATCATGAGACGTGCCTATTTTGATCTTTGAGCTCAGGTTCATAAAAATTATCAATAAAAACTTTGCCAAAAGTTATTGCTTCTTATCAGAAACTCAAGGGAAACATTGGAATTAAATGTCCTCTAATCAGTTTTTGTCTCCTTGGGTGTTCTCTTTACAAAATCCTTGAATTCCACCCAAAAAGGTTATATTTAAATAATGCACTTTCCTCTGCTTACAATGCCCTCTTGCTCCATAGAAGACTTTTTAAAAATATTTTTTAGTTTCTTTCTTTCTTTCTTTCTTATTTATTTATTTATTTCTATGCAGTGCTGAGAATCAAACCCAGGGCTTCACACATGCTAGGCAAGCCCTCTACCACTGAGTCACAGCCCCAGCCCAGAAGACTCTTAATCATCCTTCAAAACCCAGCTCAGTCAAAACTTCATCTGGTAAAGGCTTTCAACACCACCTCTTCACACGGAGCCACTTCCTCTCCTGGACAACCTCTATTTTCCCTGGAACACATTTCTCTTGTTGTTGTTCTCTTTACTGTCCTACAACATTGTTGGATTCCACCTTTGTTTAACTTTCCAGAATGTGAACTTCTCTGGAGCAGGGTCTCTGTACTATCCACTATTACGCCCCTAGTCTCTGTATCAGAGTTCTTTATAAAGAGCTGGTATCTGGGACGTTTGGTCATTGAGTCAGGTGATATTGCTGGGCCTCTGCAGGTTCTTTCCTTGTGAGTTTTTGCTGACCATTTTATCTTCCTGGTTTATTAATACAGGAAGATGATTTGGCTTGTTTGGGCCACAGCCACCTTCCCAGAACATTCAGGCTGTTGTGCCAGTACCCTGATGGCCAGAAGTCCTCTAGAAAAAAATAGTGGGCATAGACAAGATGAAGCTGATGGATGCACTGAGTAATGTCAATCCAGGCTACTTCCTGTGCCACCATTAAGAGATCCCTGCAGTAGTCAGCAAGTTAGACAGATTTTAGAGCAAAGAATAACTTCTGTCTCTGAAAATAATGCATGTTCATGATCAATGGGTGTGAAAGGACAGAAGAGAAGAACAGCAGCCTGCATGGCCAGATGAACCGCAAATCTCTATCCACCCATCTCATGGCAGATATCACCACAGAGAGCACATCCAGCACCAGAACTCCAAAAAGATGATCCCAGATTTTTCATTAGGCCAAGAGGTATCTGAGCAGGTGGCTTCCTGCTTTTTGGTAAATGGGTGGTTGTGGGTGGAGAGCAGACCCTGGGAGCTGGTTTAGGAGGAGACTTATAAGAACAATTGTCATTGTGAGACCCTCAGCAGATTCCTGATGTGAGTGATGCTAGGTCTGAGTGTTTGGAAATTATACCAGCTCATCAATTCAACTCTGAGTTAAATTCTTTGTCTGATTAGGCTGGGGAACTGAGGATTAGGTAACAAAGTCTCCAAGTTCTCAAAACATAACAGAATGAGAAGACATTTAAGTTGTGCTTGTGTGCTTCCTTCTCTCTTTCTTCTGACTCTGCACCAACTGATACTCACCCTTCACCAACCTTTCCTACATCTCTGGCGTGCATTCAAACAAGGAGAGATTACAGTGTCATTTGATAACTATTGACAATTAATAATCTTGAAACAGATTGAATTTGAAGGCACCCCATCTGAAATTGGGAATGACTTCCTCATGCTGAGAGTAGAAGCTGGGGGCCATGGGGCTTCCACCTCCCACCCTGACAGGCACCAAAGAAGATGGAAGTGGGGATTTCCTTCCTTCTGGGACTAACACAGACTAACTAAATCTGCATGTGTGTATTTCCTGCTTTTTTTTCCAGATTGCTCCCTCTTCAGATCAACCAAATCTACACATGTATATCACTTGGCTTTTGTTTCTGTAAATTATAATTGTGTTGTGGGATAGGTAAGGAGAAGCAATCTAACTGCTTCCTCCCAGGTTGATCAAATGGCATCAAGTTCAATACTCATTTTACCATCTTCTGTCTATTTATTAGGTGGGTGGACAGCCAAATCCAGCCAGCTAGGATCAAGGCAGGTCCCAGGGTTAGGCTGTCAGTAACAATCTCACCATAACCCAAAATCTTTTTTATACTTTTTGTATGTAAAATCTCTATGGAATTATATAACTTCATCTTTTTTCAAGACATATATTTGGCTAAGATGATGAAATAACCAAGGCTAATATTATTTTCCCCCTGTCGTGCTTAGCTCTGGTCCTGGTTGGACTGGTCGGAATTTGTACCAACAAGGATGGGTTAGTCATTCCCTGAGATGAAAAACGCATCCAGTGCTGGGGCCCAATCTATGCAAAGGTTCTTGTTCTGCAAAGGCAATCAAAGAAGCCATGCTCTAGCCAGGCAGGATGGAAGACATCTGTAGTCCTAGTTGTTCAAGAGGCTGAGGCCGGAGGATCACTTGAGCCCAGGAGTTCAAGGCCAGGCAACACAGGGAGAAGGGAGAAGTTATCACACACACACACACACTGAGAGAGAGAGAGAGACAGGTAGACAGACAGACATATTCCTCATGAACTTAATTCCATAGAGGGTAATATCTTCAAACACAAAATGATTTGCATACTAAATTTGTGCTGCACCAAGGCAGGAAAGCATTATGTGCCAGAAGAGTGCCCTCGTGACCTCTGGCCTCTCTTCTTCACACATATTTAGTGAAACACTTACCACATACCTTAAAAGGTCTGTTCTAAATATTTAAGTACTCAGATGACTAATGCCCAGTTATTATTCTGATTGCAGATAGAGACAAATGAGGATGTAGCATAAATAAGGACAGTCCAGCCACATAAAATGAATCATACAGGTATGAGTAATATACAGTCCTTATCAACATGAATGGTTTATCTCCTTTCTTGTTCTCATTGACAACAGGTAAAAGTTCCATCTCAGATAACATTCAGGGAGGCATCAGGCTGATATAAGTGTAAATGGACAGGTGATCCATCAAATCAGTGATGTAAGGATGACAATCATTATGGTATTTTCATCCTTTCCTAATGGTGGCCCAGGTGGTTCCTCTCATGGGAAGCCTATCTTGAATTGCACTGAGTGAATTTCTCTGGGTATAGAGAGGCACAGTAGTGCTCTGGAATAATTTGTGTATGAGGTTCAAATTCCACAATTCATAATTGTGATTATGGAAAAAATGCAAGCAAGATTACTTGTCTAACTTTACTAAATGCACATTCTTCTCAGTTGGGTAAAACTTGATCTTGCTAATTTGGGGAACCAGGTGGTATCTAAGCTTTGGTGGATGAATGATGGGGTCTCATGGTTGGGAGTGCCAAGGAACATGTCAGGTCCAGAGACAGTTCCTCATGGCATTGGAGGAGGTGTGTGCTACACCTCAGGGTCACTGTGGATTGGCAGGGCTGCCTGTCTGCTGTGTTCAGGACATGTGCCAAATACTACCGACAAGCCAGTCAGAATCTTTGCCCTTATGAGTCTCAACCTTGATTAATGGTGAGGGATGCTAACCAAATAAACACAAAAATAATATTAAATTACAAATTGAGATAATTATTTTGAAATAAAAGAAACTTTGCTGAAGTTCCCAGCAGTGTTTGACACAGGTGACCTCTATTGTCAGGTTTTTGTTGCTGTGATAAGAGATTAGGAATGAAACCAATATATGACCCAGCTATACCATCCTCCATATTTGTCCAACAGAATTAGCACATGATAGCAACACATGCATATACATGTTTATAACAGCATACTTCGCAATAACAAAGTTAGAGAACCAACCTAGGTGTCCATCAACAGATTACTGAATAAATAAAATGTGGTATATATACCCACATTTTATCAGCCATAAACACAAATGGAATTATGTCATTTGCAGGAAAATTAATAGAAATGAAGAATGTTTTTGCTTTTTTGCTTTTGTGACTAAAGGACCCAACCAGCACAATTGTATGGGGAGAAAATTTTTATTTAAGGGCTCATGGTTTTATAGGTCTTAGTCCATAGAAGGCCAGCTCCATTTCTCAGGGTACAAGATGAGGCAGAATATCATGGCAGAAGAGTGTGGCAGAGGGACCCAGCTCATATGATGATCAGAAAGCAGAGAGAGGTGTTCACTTGTCACATACAAATATATATGCCAAATCCATGCCCCCAATGAACCATATCCACCAGCCACACCCCACCTGCCTCCAGTTACCACTCAGCTAAACCCATCAGGAACTAATTGTCTGACTGGGTTAAGGCTATGCTATGTAGTCCAATCATTTCTCATCCAAACCTTCTTGCATTGCCTCATACCTGAACTTTTTGAGGACACCACACATCAAAACCATAACAGAGAGCTTCATACTAAGTGAAATAAGCCAGATTCAGAAAGTCAAGGGTTAAACCTTTTTATTATATGGGGAAGCTAGAGAAAGAAAATGAAAACATGAGAGAACAATAGAGCAGAGAATTGGGATCAGAGGAGGGAAAAGGTGGTGCAAAAAGAAGGGGGTATATGAGAATGAAATAAACCAATGTATGCTATGTGCATGTAAGAATAGATCACAATGAAAGCCACTATTAAGTATAATCATAATGCACAATATAAAATTTAAAAACCACAAGAGAAAAAATAACAGATAAATATTAAATAAAGAAGGAAAGATATATTTGGACTCACAGTTTAAGAGATTTCAGTCCATAATCACTTGGATCTATTGATTCTGAACTGTACTGAGGCAGATCATCATGGCGGAAGTGCACCACAGAGCAAAGTCACTCCCTTC